TGAGGTGCCTGGCACACTTCAATGCTCTAGCAAAAGCAACATACTGAGATAGAGGCACTGGAAAATTACTATTGTTGAATAGTACCAAAGCTTTCGTAAACAAGGAGTTGAGAAGTTGCAGTTGGAAATTTGGTTGCTTGCATATGATCGTTGTCTCTATTATTTTTTTGCTAAATCTAATGATATTATAAATGAAAAAAAACTTATTTCGTGTACTTTGCGATGAGATTATTACCACATCAGTAAGAGTTATTGTAAAGATGTCTTTTTTTTCCCCTGGTTATAAAAGCAGATATTCTTGTGTGAAACATTTGATAAATGTGTTAAATCAGAAAGACAACTATTATTGTTATTATTTTTTTCTTTCTGTTTTTAGGAAAATCAAATTGTGAAGAAATGGATAACTGTGGATGACAGTATCAGAACAAAATCATAGTTATATAGTCCTAGTATTAATACATGTCGGTTCAATTTTGGGAATCATAGAAACGTGTGTGAAATAAATGGAAGGCGAGAATAACTGAAACTATTGAATTTTTCCTATGCTCCACACAGGTAAAGGGAGGGGAGAGATGGTCACAAGGTGTTTATAATTTTCCAGGATTATTATATGTATGGGGGGTCTTCTGTACGCATCATAAAAGTTTGATCTAAATCCACAATACTTGCATAGAATATGTAAGACACAATGCCAGATGCACAAGTCAATGTGATTATCAGTAAATCTGCTGTTTTACATAGAAGAGCAGGTATTTGTGTAGTGGCAATTAGCAGCGACCCTCTTTGAGTTTCATATCACACACTAATGTTCATAATGAGTTATTCCCTACTGAGAAAAAAAAATATACACATATATGGTATTATTATAACATGAAGATATGTATTTGTGTCACTGCAAATAAATGTCACTACAAATAAATATGTCACTCCAAATAAATATATTTAAATGGCTTCAAATACCCTTTAGATTTTATAGGCAACTGATATAAAGGTATCAAAAATAGATATTTGTAACATCATTTTATATTTGAGGGAGAGTTTTCTCCGAGAGCTCTTTATTTGCGAGTGAGCTCAGGGTACAGAGGTAGAGTAGTTTTTTCAGGACATTGCTATCGAGGAACTTAGTAAAGAATTTCCGTGAGGTTTTAAAGTTATTGTAATATAAAGATTCAGGAAGTTTGTACTTTGAATTTGAAACCTAATCATGATGTTATTAACCTTATGTGCGTGTGTTTACATAGGGCGTCTTCTGTATATGCCAAAAAAGTTCATCCAGTATTAAAGTTAATTCAGATCTCTAGTGCGCATATGCAGTGACAGCATCCAGTATCAACTTTAAATACACCTCTGGACCTGCATTAACCCCTACGATCCGGATGACGTTACGGCCCTATCAAGGAAAAATCTGGATTGAGAATCGGCTGACGTGAACATGCTGTCATCGGGCAGGTTGTATTATGAAAAATTGAAAATTACAAAAAAATGAGATATATGACACAAATAAGCAAATGTTACATCATTTTTTATTAGTTAATTACAATATAGAGAGATGATATGGAGTCTGTGCAAGGAAAATAAGCTATTACCGTCTGGATAAACCAAATCAAAGGACAAATATGGATAACAAATAAAAATATTAGTTATCCATGTCAAATCGTTTTCATTAACAATAAGCCTTTGCCTTGCCTTGGGGAACAAGTGAAGAGTTGGTGTTTTGTCATCTGCACCTGTTATCTTTGTTAAGAAGTGCATAAAAATCATCGGACACCTAGGTGTAGGTAGATATCTACGTATTTATGGCACCTATGGCCTACAGTAAAGTTTGCGCATTATATTTTTATCGGAAATGTGCGAAATGATACAATAGGAGTTTCAACTCTATACGAAGACTATGCATAAGAGCGGGTTCACAGTTCCATATTGTTTATATTTCAGAGTATATATCACTGTGTACTACTTATGAGGACCGTCCCAGATAGGATGGGGGGGACAGGGTCAAATTGAGGTAGCTAGCGTAGAGTATAGATACATGGATGAGGAAACTACCAAACAAGTATTAAACGCCTGCTGTGGCTCGTTGTCTTGCAGCCGACTTTTGCATTTTGCAGTCATGCATATAGCATTTGATTATGACATTGTGCATAGATATGAGTTCGTGAATGTTCAAGGAACACTTTTATACCAGTAACAGGAAAAAATTATATCACCGTTATTTTTGATGAAATATTTTGTGAAATATATTTTAAAAAAGTGTTTTGTGTCCTTTTATACACCAAATATTCTTCCATCGAGACTCCCTGGCAATATGTTGTAGGTTACGAAGGAATCTGTATGTTTATTACATACGAAGCACTAATGTTTGAAAATAGCCTTGTAAGTAAGATTTAAAATATTTCCGTTACATTTTGCTCAACGGTTTGTACATCACAGCATAGGTAAATTTGATTTGATTTGAAATTGGTTGTTACCGTTGTAAAGGCTGAATCAATATGAATGTCGGATTTTTGAGCTTCGGATCTATAGTTGAGATACTGATTATTTCATGTCGATGATAGTACTCAGTAATACCCACTCTGAAATAAAAACCATATGGAATTTTGAGCCCTTTTGTGTGCGCAGTCTTCATTTAGAGTTAAAAAAGCTATCGTATTTGTTTTGTGCATTCCTGATAAAAAATGATATATTTAGACATTACCGTAGGTCTTAGATACCATGAATTCACAAATATACCACCACACCTAGCCGTCTGCATGATTTATCCACTTCTTAGTAAAGATAATGGGTGCAAATGGCTAATCACCAACTCTACACTTTTTCCCCTTTGCAATCTGTTAATATTGACAATTATCAAAGAACACGGTGTGAGAGGGATAACTAATATATTTTATTATTTATATATGAAAGTCAATGTAGGCCTACTAAATGAGGATGATTCATATTTTTAACTTTGTGTTTGTGTTCATGTCCACATGATCCTCCTGGAAAATTATAAACACCCAGTGACCTATTCCTATTGACTTGGTAATCATCTCATTGGAAAGTACACTAAATAATCTTTTTTTATATATATATAATGTCATTAGATTCAGAGAAAAATAAGAGATAATGAACTTTGGCTAGGTGCTCAAATATAATACGGCGTATCTCAGTTCCTTCTTTACATAACCTTTGGTACATCCTAACTCTTGTAATTTTCGTGCGATTCAAATGCAGTTTGTTGCTTTTGCTAGAGCCTCGGCGTCCTAATGTCGTGTAAATGGCTGATTTTAAAATTTTTGCCCTAATAAAAAAATATAAATTTTTTAATGTTGAAAAAAGCAAACCAAAAATAGTACTCTTATATCAAGCAGTCCCTCACCAAAAAAAAAAAAAAATATATATATATATAAAAATAAAAAATCAGACATTTACATGGCCTTAGGCTAGGGTTATTCTAACACAAGTATTTTTTTGGGACTATTCAGTTAATAACTGTGGCAGTTGGGATGTACCGAAGTCAAAAAAAACAAACAATTCTTGACTTTTGGGGGTTACCCCCCTCTATGGGGGAGCAAGGTTAAAATTGTATATGAAATGAAGTGCAATTCTATACTCAATATAGTGTAAAAAGAATCAATCAGTTATCTCTTAACCGATATTTTTTATGATGTAATGAGTAGGGAAAGATGGTCATTTCCCGGGATGGTCCCCTTAACATAAAATGATCGATGTCTCACTTATATTTTGGAAGTTTAAAGATCTGGCTTCTAGGTGCTCTTCATATTTGAAGTGCAGTTTACCCTGGAAATGATCAATTTTAAATCAAAACAAATTTGCTGAGTGTGGATGGTACCAACCATTGGAGCAAAGTCAAACCAAAATCTTTGTAATCATTATTCATACTGTTATTTTTTAACATTAGTACTTCATACTTGGTACACATAGAGAATACTGTTATTTTTTAGCAGTAAATGCTTCATACTTGGTACATACCCCTTCTTAAATTACAACATATTACCAAGGAGTCCTGATGAAAGAAACTTTAATGTGTAAATGTACACAAATATGATATTTTTTCTGATATTGGTATAAAAGTGTTCTTAAGACATTGACAGACTCATCAGTGTGATTTTTTATTATCAAATGCCATATGCAAGACTGCAAAAAGCAAAAGTCCATACAGATGTATCGGATGCTGATTACCTGTGTACTTAGTTTACCTGTTGGCACTTCTGCCCTTGCGCCTCTCAAGAAATGACCTGAGCTGGGCTATAACAGTCATTTTGTAGTTTCCTGATTCATGTACCAATAACACAGGCTAGCTAACTGCAAATGACCCTCTTCCTCACACCCACCAGGAATGGTCCACTAAAGTAGATGACATTTTCTCATAGCTGAATTAATTTGAAAGTTGTAGCATCAACCATAATGGCATTATTTTGAATTGCAGTTTTTTCATTTAGAGGCGGAACAGTGGGGAGAGTTGAAGTTGAGTTGAGGTATATTGATCCATATATTACCGCTACCTCTTGATATGATATTATAGTGATTCACCATAATCAAGAGAGATGCATAAGGAAAATCAGAAATATCACTGATTGTAAAGCAACTTCAGTTTGCCAGGGCTTCAAAAATTAAGGGTGTAGTTACATATGTTCAGCTTCCAAGTTTTTTATATGAGTGCCACAACTTAATCATTTTTATGTTTTATTTTGTGTTTTCTTGAGCCATAGACTGGCATTTAGACATACACTATACTTTACTTTGTGTGTACATCACAATTTTCTGTATTTTTTGTTCACTGAGAGATGAGAGCAGGTAGATTATGTGCAACATAAGAATTAGTACCACTGAATGTCTAATGTCACGGTCATACAATAACAAACAGTTTTATTCTGAGTGACATAGGATGATTCCTATTGTAATAGTTATTCAGTAACTTAATTTCAGCTCTCCCCAAAGCCTGTGTCTCTTCTGATGTCTCAAGGATTGAATTCTGCTTGGATGATGAGGAAAGACTTGTACATGATTTTGTTGATTATAGATGTCTTATCAAGTACAAATTTTTTTGAAATGCTTATTATGAAAGAATATACTATAGTGCATTGTTTTATATCAATTATGTAGGGTGGAATAGTAGAAATCTATTCTGATGAATGATAAGAATTTAAATTGATCAAGAAGATATGGCATACCTAACGCCAAGTTTTTTTTGTAGAGGATATTTGAAATACATACTTTTCAGTTCTCATTTTAATTTGCATCACTTTCAAACTTAGAAGTCATATCTGAGGATACACTGATTGTCAAGTTTTAGCCTTATAATAACTGAAAGTTGTGAATTCGTAATCAGAGGCTGATGAAACAGCAGCTCCTTTTTTGTAGAGATGTGTGGTGTGTGTTGAATAAATGTGTTTTTACATGGGATTTCTGTTTTGCTGTATAGTTTCATAACCAGAAATATAATATATTTTCCTTTAGTATTGTGCATGAGTGCATTAGCTTTGATTCCCTCACAGACAGTCAATAATCATGCTTTAGTAACTGCTTTACATTGCATGAATATATACCAACACAGTTTATTTGTCATTTGATATTCTGTTTGAGTTTTTTGCCTTTGCATTTGCTTTTAAGAGGAATATTATCATTACATGCATGTTTGTTCCAAAATATTGTTACCTTGGTATCAATCACTTAAGAGCTTTGTTGTGTGAAAATTTTCTGCTCTACTGTTTCTTTGCCAAAATGAATTCAGAATTGTATTTAAGATCAGTTGATGAGCCTAGGCTCCTCACAAGGTGTTTATTGAGTGAGACTGGCATGTTTGCTGTGGTGTGTGGTGCATGTGGTGGTGTGTTCTTGCAGTGGGGAGAGTGATTTGGAGGGCTCTCGACGCTCTTCCATGGACCACCCACCTGCTGTACAGATGCGGAGGCTGTCCACCTTACCCAGAGATCCTCGAGACTCCAGAGTTGACCTGCGACGGATGAGCCTTTACTTGGAGCCTGGTACCTGGCGGCTGCCCAGTGACCGAGCTGCACTACCTCCATCACATCCTCGTCGTTTCTCCATGGGCCCAGACTCTTATACACAACCTTACAGGATGACAGACTCCCTCACTGAGATCCAGGGCGACATCCAGCGACTGGCAAACCAACAGCAGCAGATCCAGAGCATGATGCACAATGGCATGACTCCCCAAACTAATCAAGGGATGCAACAACCTCCTCCTCATGGCCAGTTTTATCTTCATGATCAAGTAAGTTTAAAAATGCTACTTTTGTCAAGAGATATCCAAGCAATATTTATTTTCTTAATTAATTATTAACCCATAAATGATGATTGATATGCTCTAGTGTCATCATAGTGTCATTAATCATGTTAGGAAGATAACACATCATGTCATGTGGGGTTTGTCTGTTCCAAGTTGTATGCACATAATAGTTGTTTGCTTGTTTGGCTCTGGCTGTGGTCATTGAGGAGGGAGAGTCTTGCAAAGGGAGGCCTAAAGCCTCTTTTTAACCTCCAAAGCAATGATTTATTTTGCAGCCAAGAGCATAACCAAAAGCTGGGTAAATTTATCTTTTCCACAAATGTACTTTTTCCCTTGAGCAGCTGACTGTGTGTACTATCTGGCATGTTGTTCGGGCATGGTGATAGGAGACCTCTTTGTAAGAGGATTAATGCATTGAATCTAGATGCTTTGCTTTCCACACCTAGACCAAAATCTGGGCATTAGGCTTTCTGCAGTGGCCACTTCTGTGTGAGCCATATAGACCCAGGCCACATGAAAACTTGCGTTTAGTATCAAGACTGTCTCCCCATTGCAATGTTATTTTTTAATTTATATGTAAGTAATTTTTGAAATTAATTATGCTGTATCAAGGTGGTAATAGACTGTTTTTGTTGAGCAGACTCCATATTCTCTCACTAGGTTGTCTACAACATAGTGCAATGATAGTAATAGTAACTTTTGTATTTTGTGTCATTTAAAAAAAAAAAATTCAAACCCAATTATCTGTAAGTTATCCTGTGTCGCTGGTTACATTAGGTAGGAATAAGAGTCTGAGCATGGGAATGATGTCCACTCTCATGCCGGTGCTCTTCCAACAATGGCTCATGATTAGTACTTTCCCCATTCATTTTCTGATAAACTGATAATGCTTTCCACCATCGTTTACTGGTAAAAGTAATGAAAGAATCCCTTTTTAAATGACTATAGAGTCTAAGCTCCTCCAAGAGCTTTGTGCACTCATGGAAAGTCATATACTGGCACCTGAACCCTCAGCTAAATTCTTAATATTGGCACATTCCCATCACCCAGGCCCTCAGTGAAATTTTCCATGGTAGCATATTTAGCCACGTATTTTCATGACATGATGTTTGTGTATGGCTTGCAGGCTAGGTGCGTGCGGACACTCGTGAGCAGTGACAAGACACTGTGCCTCCTCTTTGCAAAGTTATTTTGCATAAACTTTTAAGCTTTTTTTTTCCACTTTCCAGTGTTAATATTTGTTTTTTTATTCGCTTTTTCCGGATGTAGTAAGTAAGTCGGTGCAAGAAAGAAAATAAAAAGAATTTGTTATTTGTGTCGTATATCTTATTTTTTCGTATTTTTCAGTTTTCCATAGTATTACCTGCACTGCTGGTCACAGCACCCTGGAATATGATGCTAAGCATGGGTATGGCATCTTTTCTGGAGCCGGTTCTCGTCTAGTCATGGCTTACACACATCACATTCCACACTTGTTAATTGATGAAAATACTGCTAAATCCCCCTTTTAAATGCTAAATGAGTCTCATCACACTCCAAGAGGTTTGTGGACTTTCTGTCACCTTGGCCTTCGCTCATGACAGCAAGTTCGCTTCATCCGGCCTATGGCCATTTTGTCCAGTGACGATATGTTCTTGTCACCCGGCCCTTGTCCCAGATTTTTCCATGACGGGATGGTCATGTCATCTTTGATCATAGGGATTAATTCTGCAAGATGAATATTAGTAAAAGTTATTAGTGGCAGTATTTACCTGCATGCAATGGTAACATGCATATACATATCAGAGAGATTTCAGCAATAAGAAATTCTTTTGCTTGACATTTTACTGTCTGAAGCATGTTAAGATTTTTGTCATTTATCACACTAAATGTAATGAATGTCTAACTAACTATATATGATGATGCTTATACAGCATCATATCAGTAAATTTTAGTTTTCTATATCTGATTATTTGTATCTAATGTATGTTGGATTGTTCCTGAAATTTCTAGATAACTGTAGGCCTGAGTACCAGCTTAGAAGGGTTATTTGTTGAGGGAGACATATTTTTATCTTTACACATTCTGTCTCTAATCTTAGACTTTCAGCAATACCCTTAGGATTCATTGTGAACCCTAATGTCATTTTCTTGGGTACCCATAGTCACGTTTTAATTCTCTGATGTGTAAAGACATGACAAGGGAAGGGTGAACCTGAATTATAGATAGCACATTTGCATGTCATAACAATGGAGGCTGCTGTGTGTTATCATCATCTAGGAGCTAAAACCAATGGGTGCGCATAGCCGCATCCAACCCTTTGTATATACCTGTGAGGATCCCTCATGGCAAGCCGCCAGGCAGGGACTCTGCCTATCTCGAGTTCTTCGTGAATGGTTTGATCGATCTGCTCAAACCATGACTTCCTAGGTCATCCCACAGGGCTCCTCCACCTAGGGCTGTCTTGAACAGAGACAACCTGACAGGCAGGATCATCCTGAGGAAAGCGAGCCAGGTTGTTGTATAGCCTGATGTGGCAATCACGGATTGTGCATATAACAGGTCCTGTGCCAGTCTCACGGTGCAACTATTGGTTGGTCACATGGTCCCGCCAACAGTAACCCAAGATCCAGCGCAAGGACCTATTACAGAAGGCCTCAAGACGAGACTCCAAGACACAGGATAATGTCCAGGTTTCACTACCGTATAGTGAAACTGGCAGTATCAGGGCCTTGAAAACCCGTAGCTTGGTCCTTCTGCACAGGTATCGACATCTCCAAATACTCTTGTCGAGAGAGTTCATGACCACTGCTGCCAGGCCAGTCCTTCTGCTGACTTCCTGTTCAGACAGCTCAGAGTTATGAACTACACTACCAAGGTATGTAAAGCTCTCTGTGACTTCTATATCCTCGCCTCAAGCACATACCGACTGAACAGGTTCTAGCAAGTCCCCAAAGTCCTGGACCTTGGTCTTGGTCCAGGAGACCTCTAGACCCAAGGGTTTCGCTTCATTGCTAAATGCATCCAGAACCACCAATAAGGTTTCCAAAGACTCAGAATAGCAACATCATTGCCAAATTCAAGGTCTGTACCCTTGATATTGTCCAGACTTGCTCCACAATGACTTTGAACAGTAGCTCTGCCTAGTATCCAGTCCATGCAAGTGTTGAAAAGTGTTGGTGCAAGGACACAGCCTTGCCTCACTCCTGAACTAACGGGAAAGAAGCTCGACTGGCCCCCACCACACTTTATAGCACTATAGGTCAGGAGGAATGGTACTGGACTGCCAGATGGCAGCCAGGACAGCATGTAACCCCCACACCATAGGTTCACCACCAGCCTTTTAACATTTCAGCTGGTATGCCAGAGATGCCTGCTGCTTTGCCACTCTTCAGCTTGGAGATCTCCCCCCCAACTTCAGTTAGGGAGGGAGGATCCTCACTGATGGGTGGGTACGGCAATGGAATCTTGGCACTCCCCGCATCCAAGTTAACTGTTGGTGGGTCAACCTGGTACATCTGTTCAAAATATTCAGCCCAACATTCCCGCACCCCAACAGGATCTGAGACAATCTGACCACTTACTGAGTGAACTGCTGTCACCTGTGGAGAGGGCTTGGAGTTCAGCTTTCTGAGGGCTTGGTATACAGGACAAAGGTCATTTACTAAGAAATGGCCTTCTGCCTCCTCTGCAAGACTCCAAATAAACTGTTCCTTGTCCCTTCTTAACAGAGGCCGAGTTCTGTGCACATGAGAATGGTGCAATTCCCGATCCCCTGTCAGACGAGCTGCAGTGTACACCAATTGTCTCTTGAGCTGCATCAAGTGTTTTTTGCTTGAAGGTATCCCACAGAAGAACAGGGTCTGTCAGACTGTCGAGCATTGTGAAACGACCAGAGAATGCCTCAGCAAACCCATGGGCACACTCCACCTCCCTCAGCCTGTCCAAATAAAATACCCTAGGGTGATCATTGGACCGCTGGGGAGTTTTGAAGTGGACCTGGAGGGTAGCCACAACCATTCTATGGTCAGTACCACAGAACTCAGCACTCCTATACACCCTGGAGTTCTGGATGATCCTCCGACGAGTGCTAACGAGTCTGTGGTCCATCTCTTTGGCTGCATTACCCGCATCACTGTACCATGTCCAACGATGCAGGTCTGGGCGCTGGTACCAGGAGCCAGAAATCCTGTATTTATAGGACCTAGCAAAGTCCCGGAAGTCCCCCAGAACAGTACGAATATCTCGCCGGGGACAACTGTCTGCCACAGATGCTAGTTTGGCGTAGAACATCTCTTTCACGTCATGCTCATACCAATGTTTTTAACATTGGTATGAGCATAAACAGCAGTAAGAGACATGAAGCCAAATGATAGCTTCAGTCTCAGTACCATTATACACTCATCGACAAGAGTAACCTCCACTACTGAGGGCTGGAGATGGCAATGGCTACTCCCTGTAGATGATGACCATCAGTGCGTCCCAACCAGTAATAGGTGTAGCCACCTACACTGGTCACACCGATGCCAGGTCTCCTCACCTCCGAGAGAGCACCCACCTTAACTCTCAGCCTCCCCAGTTCCCTTGACAATAGAGGCAACTGATCATCCTAACACAAGGAACGGACGTTTCAAGCCCCTACCCCGACTTCCTGCCTGAGGTTTAGCCTCGGGCAGTCACTCCGGGTGGACGCCACCTCTGCCACCCCTGCCGACGTTGCCCCATATAAAAGGGGGTGGCAGGCTGCGGGCCCCATCATCCACCTGTCGGGTTCCCTAGGGCTTTCCCCCACAAGCTTCACTCTTGACTGGCGGCTGCCAGAACATAGGCGGGACAAGTAGTTCCCATTCCCAGCCAACAGGGCCCACAGTTTGCCTCACTTGCTGGATGGGAGAGTCTTTTCCCCTCTTCCCAGCCTTTCATTTATACACAGCACTGAAGATTGGTTATATCTGGGGGAGGAGGACTGGCAAGGCCCACCTCCCCGAGCCTCCCTTTAACCCCAG